CCCCAAAACCCCAAAACCCCAAAACCCCTCTTTTGATAGGAATTATTGAAATATTTTTAGTTACCATTAATGGAGGAGATTTCAGAAAAGAAAAAGGTAAGCTAATATCATGTTCTGCAAAATCTGACAACTTAGCCTCGATCTACAGATTCTTCAAAAATAGATTACAGAGTGCGGCAAAGACTTTGGCAAGATTTCAATAAGTTTATCTATACCAAATGGGATAAAATATTCTTGACAGCTTGACTATTTTCCCTTCCTATGTGTTTTGCAATATTGAGGAGGAAGACAGGACTATTCCGAAGTATTATTCCGCCTAAATCCTGTAGAATTTGACACTACTGATTACCTAAGAGCATCAATGATTTCATCAACAATGATCGAAAATCATAGATATTTACATCTAAATTTAATAAAATGAGCCAATATGGTCAAGACATTCGATAAAGTATCTTATAAAGAAAAGAAGGAAGTAATAGAAACCTATGTAGTAGCCCAGCCAAGGAGTCTCTTCCGCTTTAAAAAGGAAGATCAAGTATGAATACCTCTAATTTTCAACTCTAGTCTTCAAGAAGCATTACATATTATCAGAATATTTGGGAGCAGGATAGAGAAATAGTTCGTATAGAGCTTGCTGGCATCAAACATCCTTATTTCGAGGATACGATTAACTATCTAAATTCAACTTGGTTCCCTAGCAAGACAAAATATGAATGTCTAATTCACTCTTATGATTACAAGGAAAATATTTTAAAAGTGTGGGCATTCTATCGCCCCTTCTTCAGTCTGAATCGACAGTGACTAAACCTCAAGTATGATTATGTAATATAGTTTAGATTACTCAAAGAAGGAAAAGCCCTTAGTAATCCCCTCAAAGATGTTAATCCATTAAGTCATGAAGAGATTCATGACTTGATCGAATCATCCCAAAAACTGTCTCATACAGCCAAAATAGATGAAGTTGGAGTCTGGGGGAAATACAAATCTTCTCTGAAGGAAGAAAGGGAATATGGAAAAACAGGAAGAGCCTTTATGAAAGCAAAGATTTACAGGTGGCTTGAATCTAAATTCATCAGATTTTAAGACTTCTCTCTCGTTGCACCAAATATTTTCAACTCATCATTATTCATAGGGGTTTTGGGGTTTTGGGGTTTTGGGG